GGAGCGCATGAAATGGCGCCCGTGCGCGTCAGGGCGCATGCGCACAAAGTTATGCCCAACAAACCTTATAATCTTCATTCATTGCTTTTATGCTTCTATGACTAATAAAACTCTTAAATATTGTGTTTTTTAAAAATGCTGTTTTCCAGTGTTTGTGGAAGTTGCCAATCCAATGTGGAAGTTGCCAATCCAATGTTTCGATCTCGATCACTTAGTGGAAAGTATGAGATTTTTGAGTCACGTTTCTACTTCGATGTGCCCTACCTCCCCAACCAGGTTCATGTTCTCTCTCCCTGTGCTCTGTCTATAGGACTCACTGAAGTTGGTTTGAGTAGAGGCACAGTCGTGTGAGGAGTGGCTTCTTGGGTCTTCATGCAGCCATGGATCTGGATAAACCGTCTGTCTGGGGCTCATTAAAACAGCGGACCAGGCCATTGTTCATCAACTTGAGCAAGAAGAAGTTGAAAAAGAGCACAAGTAAGCCCGTGGACTTAAGGGCAAGGTGTCACCTGGACCGCCGCCTCAGTCTCTCTGTGCCTGACCTCCTGGAGGCTGATGTCTTGGCCCCTGGGGGTGGGCCATACTCTGGGCCCCAGTCGTCCTATACATCGGTGCCCAGCAGCCTGTCCACTGCAGGCGTCTTTCCCAAGAGTAGCAGTAGCTCCTTGAAGCAGTCTGAAGAGGAATTGTATTGGAGCCAGGAAGAAGCAAGCCACCTCCATGTGGCAGAAACAGACTCAGAGGAGCTGTACACCTCTCCAGCTGAGGAGAGACAGGTGTCCAGCAACGGTGTCTTCAATCTTCAGAAAACTCCCTTTGGAGGGGAAGCTCCAGAAGAGCCAGAGGTGAGACCAGGGCTGGGCGTGCTCCAGTTTCTTTTTCTTTTTTTCTGTTTTTTTTTTCAAGTGCATTCAGTGCCCTTGGAAAATATAGTTAGGAGTTATTTTTGTGGTTAGCTTAGATGGGGAGGATGTCATTTACAAGAATTTAAATTAATGCAATATTGATTGCACCCAATGTCCCCATTAGTTTTAGGGTTGACCTCTATATATTTTAAAATGATTACAAATAAACTCTCCGGGACACTTTTAGGCATTAAAAGCTCTATTGGATGAGTTTTCTTTTTTTCAACTCCTGGCCAAGAAATTAAAAGCATCACTTTCCCTCTAACTTTTCATGTAAGTACGAGAAAAGAAATCAATCACCAAGTTGCTAAATTGTGATTTGGATGATAAATTTAATTGGTTTTTTAAATTCCTCCCTTATTGACAATGAAGTAGGTTTCAGTGTTGAAGTAAGAGGTTAATTTTTCAGTATTCCAGGTTAGTGTTACAATTGCATAGAAAACTGGTTATTCAACTGGAATTTTTTAGTTTTACTTTTAGAACCAAAGCTGATTGATCATGCCGTATATTTGGGTTTAGCTGGGGAATGGGATTATGGATATTCAGAGGACGCCCTGGCCATATTCTTTAGGAAGCATTAATATGTTAAGAAACCATGACCCATTAAATGACATTTCTTTTTTTTTTTAAAGATGACCGGTAAGGGGATCTTAACCCTTGGCTTGGTGTTGTC